GATTTGATTTGAAAAAATCAAATCAAATTCAAATTGCTTAAATATTTGATTCGATTCGATTTTGAGAAACCCTAATAATAAATATAGACCAAATGACATATTTACTAAAGCAGCTGCTGATGTTAAAAAAATTACAAATTTTTTTAAAGTTAGAAATAATGTTCAAGATCTGGAATCAGAAATTACAGAATCAGATTTGAGTGATTCAGATGATGAAATAAAATGCAATACTTGTCAAATTAATGAAAGAATTCAGTTTTTAAAAGAACAATTAGAAAAGCAACATAATAAAATGACAGTCATTGAATATAATCAAAAAAAGCTATTTTTGAATATCTTATTCGTTTAGATAATAATAGATATAGAAAAATGCATGCTAGTTTGGAGGTGGCTAAAATAGTTTTTGTTGATGGTGGTCTATAAAAAGCACGACATATTCAATATTTTGCAAAATACTGACTAACTAATGATGAACTTCCAGTATTTAAACAGGGAAAACATCAAAAAACTATTAGAATAATTGATGATGAAGATATAGCTAAAAAATGCTGAATTTGGATTCGTAAATAAAATTATAAGTTTACTTTATTATTATTTAAAAAATTTGTTGAACAAGAACTATTACCCAGCATTAATATTATAAAAAAACTATTAACTTGATAATAGCATTAAGGTGGTTTAATATCCTTGGTTACTCATTTAACAACATTATCAAGGTATATATTATGATAGGCATGAATGAGATGATATTGTACAATATCGTAAAAAATTTCTAGAGGAAATGTTTGAGCATGAGAAATATATGTCAAAGTATGAAGAAGAAATAATAGATTATATATATCCTAACTTGCCTGAAGAAGAGAAGGAACAAATTTTTGTAACTCATGATAAATGTATCTTCTATTCTAATGTTGGTAAGCGTGAAACATGAGCTAAAAATAGAGAGTTGCCTTTACGAAAAAAAAGGAAACTGAAAGTTCATCATAGTTAGTGAATTTCTAACTGAAGTCAATAGACATTTATGCTTACAATTAAATGATATATAGAAATATCCAAATGTACCTAAGGAAGTATGATGTTTTCTCAAACCTGGTAAAAATCAAAAAAGATATTAGACCGCTGAACATTTTCTTGAGCAAATTAAATATAAAGCAATACCTTTTTGAAACTTTGTATCCAAATTGTATTGCGGTTATACATGAAGTCAAAATGAAAACCCAAAAGTCGAAATGTTTCGACTTTGGAGGTCAAAGTCGAAATGAAAATTCGAAATGGTCGAAATTACGTCATATCACATGATTTTTTATATATAGAAAAAAAAAAGATGTACGATCTCGGTCAAT